GTGTGTGTGTGTGTGTGTGTGTGGCCGGCTCAGCCCACCAGGGGGCGGGGCTGGCTGGCATGTGGTGCTGGGGGATGGAACCGCGGTCCCTGTGCTTTGCTAAGCTTGTTCTAAGTAGGTGCTTTAGACCACTGAGCCATCTCACCAGCCCCTCCTGTTATATATTTTTTAAAAATCATTTTTTTATTTATTTGGTACAGGGTCTCTCAGCTCAGACTCATAGTGATCCTCTTGTCTTAGCCTTCCCAGCACTGGGATTACAGGTGTGCCCCACCACACCAGGTTTTAGTGGCATGTGGTACTGGGGATTGAACAGGGTCCTTGAGCTTGCCAGGCAGGTGCTTAGACTGCTGAGCTATCTCCCCAGCCGTTTATTTTTGTTTATGTATTTAGTACAGGATCTACAGGGTCTCACTATACAGAATGGGCTTGTAGTGATCGTCCTGTTTTCAGCCTCCCAAGCCTTGGGGTTACAAGTGTGCACCACCATGCCCAGTCTCAGTTGCCAGCTCAGCGTGCCCTGGGGGTGGGCCCTGGCATGGCATGTGGTACCGGGGATCAAACCTAGTTCCTGCACTTTGCCTAAGCCGGCGCTTTAGTTGGCTGAGTTATCTGGCTGGCCCTTATTTCCTGTTATATTATCTTATAAAAATTAATAAAAAAATACGCAGGTGGTTTTTTTTTGTTTTTTTTTTTTCTTTCAGAACCAGGGATTGAACTCAGGCCCTTGCGCTTGCCAGGGAAGTGCTTATTCTACTGAGCCATCTCCCCGGCTCCTCGCAGTTTTTTTTGTCATCCTGTCTTTTAATGATGGTACTGGCAGGTGGTTAATCTTGACCCACTCTACACGGAGGAGGTTAGTAAAGTGCCACTCTGCAGTGTTGGGGCTTGCCTGCGCCTCCCCCTCCAGCTCTTCTGTGTTCCTCTCCCTGGCTGCAGTGGAGTTAGCAGCCTTCCCGTGTCCCGCTCTGCTGTGGACCAGGCTGAAACCTCCCACTCTGCCTCCTCTGAGTCCTGTCCACCAGGGGTTTTGTCTTAGCAGAAGAAAGCTGGCCGCTGCACCCGCAGCTTCCCTCAAGCTTGTAAGGCGTCTGGGCTCAGCTTTGGGTTGCTGTTTTCAGGTTTTGCAGTGCAACAGCCACACTGCCCAGGGAACACTTGCTTTCCCTAAGAATTGACAAAAACTAAATGCACTATACAGCGTTCCTCTTGCCTCGAGCTCCAGCGTGTTCCTGCCCCTGCCCTTGGCCTGGCCATGAGCGATGGGCTTTGGCTCACAGTAGAAACCCAAACCCCAGTGGCTGTGGTTTCTAGTTCGTGGGTTGATGAAACTTCGGAATGAGAGCCTTCAGTTTCTTGTTTGTGTTTGTTGTTTCTTCAGTCCTGGGGGCGAAACCCAGGGTCTCATCCCGGATGGACAGTGGCTCTGCCACTGAGCGGTGTCCTCAGCCCATGAACCCTTCATTTGCTGTGCCACTCTTTGCAGTTGCTGAATGCCGTACAGGGATGACTTCCTTCTGAGACAAGATCTAGCTACAGAGCTCAGGCTTCTCCTGGCTCAGCCTCCTGAGCTCTGGGATTGCAGAAATGCACCGCCATGCCTGGTTGCAGCGGCTTATTTTGGGAGTACACATACCAAAGATTTGTTTCTTTTGGCTTCTTGAGACAGGAGCTCACTGCGTAGCCCAGGCTGGCCTTGGACTCGCTGAGATGCTCCTACCTCAGCCTCCCGAGTGCTGGGATTATGGCTTGCACTGCCGTGCCTTGCTTACTAAAGACTTTTTAGTCTTTTTATATATTTATTATTTGGTACAGGGTCTCGCTCTGCAACTAGGACTTGTAGTGATCCTCCTGTCTCAGCCGCCCCAATGTTGGGATTACAGGTATGCCCTGCCACGCCGGTTTCAGGGCCAGCACTGTGTGTGGTACCAGGGATGGAACCCAGGACCTTGTGCTTGCCAGGCAGGCACTTAGACCAGCCCATTAAAGAATTCTTTAACCCAGTTTTATTCTAAAATTAACAAACTCTATTCAAACATTGTTCAGGGGCCAGAGATATAGCTCAGTGGCACAGCGCCTGCCTAGCAAGCACAGGGTCCTTAGTTTAATTCCTGATACAAAAAAAAAAATCATTTAACAGATATATCTTTTCTTCTTTGCATTGAGTAGTCCTGTGAAGTGCCTCTAGTACAAATAAAGAAAATCTACTATGTTCCTGAAAGCATTGGGGTTAGCAGAAAACCACCCAGAAAAAGCCCAACACAGTAAAAGAATATACAGAGCCTGGGGATATTGCTCAGTGGCACAAGGGCCTGCATGACAAGCACAGAGTCCTCAGTTTGATTCCTGCGCCAAAAAGCAAAACATGTTCAATAAAAGAATTAGAAACCACCACGGGTTCCAGACACACGGAAGTCTGGGCTTCAGCTCGGAAGTCATGGGCCAGTGACTCAGTTTCTCTAAGCCTGATTCTCACCGGAAAGCGATGGCTGCCTGTGATCACAGTGACCATCACAGGTGATAAATCCACGCTCAGGCCTCTTCTGCCTCGTTGGCATCTGCTCCGTCCATCCACCCGTCTGTGCTCGCAGGGGGATGTGGCTTCACTCCGCAGTGCAGAGGGCAGCTGTGAGGTCGATGGCTTCTCCTTGCTGGGACTTGTGGTCGTCCCCACCCACCTGGGCGCAGCCTGGCTCTGGCCAGACCCCACTCCCCGCCCCGCCCCGCCCCGCCCCGCCCACTTGTCCTGTGGGCTCCAAACACTGCACACTTGGTTCTGTGTTAGGAGGTTTTCTTCCTGCTCTTGCATTCGTCTCCGGCTTCTCTCCGGCAGCTGCCCTGATCTTCACCCTTTGTGCATGTGTCTGCTCTGGTTTTTCGCTGCAGAAACGAGCCACCAGGCCCTACAGAACATGCCCAAAGTGCTCCGTGATGTTGAAGCCCTCAAGCAGGAGGCGTCTTTTCTGAAAGAACAGATGATTCTTGTCAAGGAGGATATTAAAAAGTTTGAACAGGACACATCCCAGTCGATGCAGGTACTGTGGCTCCTGTCTTAAATGTTGGCTCCTGCTTTTGGAAAGCGTTTGCTCTCCCGAAGGGCTGAGAACCTTCAGTATTGTGAGAGGCCAACCTGAACTCAGACCTTATTTGAAAGGGTGGGAATCGAACCCAGGGCTTCCTGCATGGTGGGCCAGTGCTCTGGCCCTGAACTGCTCCACCCGCCCCATTTTGTTGTTGTTTTTAAGACGGGGTCTCACAGTGTATCTCTGTCTAGCCTCAGATGTGATCTTCCTGCCTCAGCCTCCGTACCCAACCTTTTTCTTTTTTAAATTTTACTTTGAGGCAGTGTTCTACTAAATTGCCTGTGTTGTACCAGACATAGCGAGGATCACTCCTTTGAGTCCTGCCTGGGGGCCTGGGGATAGCTCAGCCACACAGCACCTGCCCACGGGGCACGAGGCCCTCAGTTCAATTCCTGGCATACCCCCTTACCAAAAAAAAGTCCATGAAGATCCCACCTGGGGAACTTGTTGAGTCCCTGTCTCAAAAAACAAAAAAAGACTAGAAAAAGAGCTGGAGTTCAAAGCCTCTAGGTTCAGTCTTTAGTACTGAAGAAGCAAAAACAGAAGCCTAAAACTTGTGATTCTTCTGCTTGAGCCCCTCAAGTAGCTGCAGTTACAGGGGTGTCCTGCTCTGCCTCCTTGGAATGCAGACTCTACCCAGCACTCAGAAAACCCTTATGCTCTGTTCCTTCGGCTCACCCACCTCTTTAGCATCGGCTGGTTTGGGGTGCAGCAGCTCCGTGAAGCGTGGAGCGCGCTGCCGGGACATTTGCGCGCCGGTCGTGGGGAACTCAGGAGAGGGCCTGGTGCTTCACTTTTTGCCACTCCTCTCTCTCAGGTATTGGTTGAAATTGACCAGGTCAAGTCCAGAATGCAGCTTGCTGCTGAATCTCTTCAGGAAGCAGACAAGTGGAGCACATTGAGTGCTGACATTGAGGAGACATTTAAGACTCAAGTAGGTGTCCACCCGTCCGCTGTCTGTCTCTCTTGTTCTCCTGCTTTCTTACTTTGTTTTTTTTTTTTTTTTTTTTTTTGTGGAACCGGGATTGAACTCGGGCCCTTGCGCTTGCCAGGGAAGCGCTTATTCTACTGAGCCGTCTCCTTGGCCTTGCTTTGTTGATTTTTGAGGCAGAGTCCCACAGTGTGGTCCAGGCTGGCCTCAAACTTGGTGTGATCCTCCTGCCTCAGCCTCCTGAGTGCTGGGATTACAAGGGTGCACCACCAGGCCCAGCTTCAAGTAGGCTTCCTCTTCAGGGGACTTTGTGAGGCCCGTCTAGACAGAAATTCGAGTTTGGAGAGAGCAAGCGAGGGAGTCATTCCTTAGAACCCCTCTGGGTGTCCACGGTGACACAGAAACATTCAGACTTCCACTGGGAGGCTCTGAGCTGCAGCACTTCCCGCTCTCCCGGCTCCTTTAGTTTGTGCCCTCTGCTTGACTGAACTCCAGAGTGGTTCAGCAGGAGCCACAGCAGGGGACACTGGTGGAGAAGGGGGCGGGAGGGTGCAGGGTGACGAGAGCGTGTAACATGCTTCGTGGCCCTTGCACTGTGGAGCTTGGCAGGTGAATAAGCCTTCTGAGGCCGCAAAGCATGGAAAACGGCAGCCTCGAAGCCTGTGGAGAAGGAGAAGGTGAGGTGACTTCCTGGAAATGCCTTTCAGCTGCAAAGCCAGATACGCCGTAAGCCTGGCCCTCGGGCTCCCCGTGCCTCGTCGAGGCTGTCCTTCCAGACGTCTCTGCCCCCACAGCAGCACGCTGTGACGTGAACGCTTGAGCTTCGCTCCGCTGCGAGCGTTCTCTCGGGCCGTCACTGCTCAGGGCCGCAGAGCCGTGCTCCCTCCCGTTCTATTTCAGTCTTCAGGGTGCGTGACGGGTGTTACTGATGCAGCCTCGCAGAACTAATTTTAAGTCTGTGTTCCTGGAACACGGTATGGGAGAAAATGGATTTGAATGTGGGCTTTGGTTTTAGTCATCCTAACTGCTGTTACTCAGCTGAAAATTGTAGGTCTTGTCATTCTCCCATGTGCTCCAGCTGCGCTTGCGGCCGTGTGTGCGGCAGCTCCTCCCCACAGTCCAGGACCTGAATCATGCCCTTCGCGGTCCTGGGTGGAGCCTGCGGCCTTGCCTGTGGCAAGCAGGTGCTCTCCACTGAGCTCATCCCCAGCCCTTCTAATTTTTTTGACATAAGCTCTTGCTAAGTTGCTCAGGCTGGCCCTGAACTTGTGATCCTCCTGCCTCAGCCTCCCCAGTAGGTGGGATTAAAGTGTGTGCCACTGTGCCTGCATCAAAACCTGAATTTTTATTTTCAAAGTCACCAATATTTTGTCCTTTCTGTGCCTCCTATCATGCACAATGGGGTCAGTTTCCATCTAAACATTTAGGGCAAAAATCTCAGCTGTCCTTAGATGTTCCCTTTTCCCCATTCAGGTTTGTTTTGGAGGCAGGGTCTTACTGTGCAGCCCGTGCTGGCCTCAGACTCCCAGCGATCCTCCTGCCTTAGGCTCTCAAGTGCTGCACGCACCTTCTGTCTTGGCGTAGAGTAGACCTCTGTCCTCCATAGTGCTGCCTTCTTTCAGGGCTCTCCCTGCTGGCTCCTTGTTTCTCATAGGCAAAAGTAATTGCTTCTCTGCCTGCCTGGCACGTGCAGGGTCCTGAGTTCAAGTCCCGCACTAGAGAACAACAACAAAGCCCAACTGCTTCTGTAGTACCTCTGCCGTTCTGAGATGATGTGGTAATCTTTTCCATTGTATTAGGAATTCGCTGCCAGTGTTACCTTGCTCCTCTTGGAGTTCGTCTCTAGAGGTGTCTGACACATCGTGGACAGCCATGGAAAGCTGAAATGAGCAGTTATTCTGGTCTTGTTTCTGTAGTTTTCTAATTATAAACATAATTATGTCTTAGAAAACTTGAAACATTTAGAAAGTTTATGAGCCGGTGAGATAGCTCAGTGGTCTAAAGTGCTTCTTAGACAAGCTTAGGCAAGCGCCGGGACCGTGGTTCGATCTCTGGCACCACATGCGCCAGCCCTGCCCCCAGGGTGGGCTGAGCCAGCCACAAAAAAAAAAAAAAAAAAAAAAAAAAGGGGCTGGGAAGATGGCTCAGTAGATTAAGAGCTTCCCTGGCAAGCTCAAGGGCCTGAGTTCAATCCCCAGTTCCGCCAAAAAAAGAAAAAAAGAAAGTTTAGCCAGGTATGGTGGTGCACGCCTATAATCTCAGCACTGGGAAGGCTGAGTCAGGGGATTGCTTTGTGTTCAAAGACAGCCTGGGGCCAGGGAGATAGCTCAGCAGGTGTGTTTGCACAGCAAGCGCAAGGTCCCAAGTTTGATCCCTGGTACCACAAAAAAAAAAAAAAAAAAAAAAGGCTGGCCGAATAGCTCAGTGGATTAAAGCTCCTACTTAGGCGGATGAGGGGCCAGGGGTTTGACTCCCCCCACCTGCCATGCCGGCCCCGCCCCCAGGGCAGGCTGAGAAAGCGATCCAGACGGCGTGGTGGCACACACCTACCATCCCAGCACTTGGGAGGCTGAAAGCAGGAGAATCACTAGGAGTCGGATCTACGTAGGGACACCATGTAGAGCCCGTACCAAATACATTAAAAAACAAAAAAATGAAAAACGAAGACACCGGCAGCCTGGGCTCATAGTCCAAGGGCAGCCTGAAGCACACCGCCAGACGAGACTGCGTTGAAGGAAAGATGCCCTTGGACACCCACTGGGCCGAGCGCCTTGCTGGCCCGGTGATGAGCTCTGCGAGCCTTTACGCACGTTTCCTGTCTGCACATATCCGTCCTTACGTTTGTATCTCATGTGTGTGCAAATGCCAGTGTGCGTTTGTACTTACGTATTTCACATGTATTATATATTGTGTATTACATTGATGTGTGTGAAGCAAAAGGAGCCTCTAGTATACATGCACTTTTTATAGTATTTAGTAGTAAGTTCGTGTTTTGTTGTTAGTATTTTTCAAAAGCCTCCTTTTTGTCTGGGTGTGGTGGCACACCCCTGTAGTCCTAGCTCTTGGGAGGCTGAGGCAGGAGGGTAGCCATGAATTGGAGCATGTGCAGCTCGAGTCCAGTCTGGACTATATTGTGAGACCCTGTCTCAGAAAAGAAAGTCAAAGCATTGTTTCAGGTGGCGGCACAGTATTCTGCATATCGCTACGAGTATCCCCTCATTTTATACGTTGTTGTTAGGGGAGATTAAGCTGCTTTTACATTTTTTTTTATTTTCCTGTTTTTTCTTACTGGAAATCGGGTCTAGCACATTACACTGAGCTCTGTCTCCAGCAGCTGGTTTTGAGACAGGGTGCCACTAAGTTTTTAAGGGTACCACTAAGTTTTGCTTAAGCTGAAGTTGAACTTGGCACCCTCTTGTCTCAGCCTCCTAGAGGGCTGGGATTACAGGTGTGTGCCACCACGCCCAGGTCCTTTTGGTTATTTCTTTAAGACCAATTTATAAAAAAGAAAATAACCAAGTTAAAGGATGTAGGTCTTTGTAAGATTTTTTCCAGTCCTTTTATTTATTTATTTGTATGGTGCCGGGTCTCGCCTACGCAGCTCAGACTCGTATTGATCCTCTTGCCTCAGCCTCCCAGTGCTGGGATTACAGGCGTGCGCCTCCACATCTGGCACGGTATGCCCGGGATTCTGGGCTGGCATGGCATGCAGTGCCAGTGGTCGAACGGGGTCCTTGTGCTTGCCAGGCAGGTGCTTAGACCACTGAGCTGTCTCCCCAGCCCAAGACTTATTTTGAGACAAGAGTCTCACTTTGCAGTTCATGCTGGCCTTGAGTTTACTGTGTAGCCCAGGCTGGCCTCTAACTCATGGTGATCCTCCTGCCTCAGCCTCCTGAATGCTGGGACTACAGGCATGCACCGCCACGCCCAGCTCTAAGACTTGACACATTGCCAGTTATCTTTCAGTGTGACAGAACATAATACCCGAGAGACCTCTTTTCTTTGCACCTTTACTAAGTATTCCTATGTAAGATTTCAAATGCTTTTGCAACTCGTTAGAAGAAAATGGCACTTCCTTGGTTTTTTTTTTTTACACTTTTCCACAGTTTTTATTATGAGTTAAGTCATGATTCAGGGTCCCAGGGTAGGACCATCATGTACCCAGGTCCCCCTTTACCACCAGGAGACGAACAGAGGACAGAGAAACAGGTGGAGTCAGTTCAGATCTTGCCAGGAAACGTGCCCTCAGCTCGGCGGTCGTCCCAGGTTGTGACCCAGGATATGGGGCAGAGGGACTTGTACACGCGCCGGTACCACTCGCAGACAGAGATATCACCCCCTTTTTCAGTCATTGCCTTCTGGCAGTGGTGATAGTCCAGGTAGTTCTGCCAGCAGTTCCTGGTCTGGTTCTGATTGGGGAAGCGGCTGTCAAAAGGGGCAGTCTTGTAGTTCTTGATTTTGGTCTTGATGTCTTCTGCCATAGTGCTGACTTCCTAAATACGCCCCTGAAGCAGCAAGCAGCTCAATGTGACCCTCAATTCAGACGCCACTGTCAGACGGGAAGCCTCCTTGTTTTGATTTGCATGTATTTGTTAGTAATGCTGAACGTAGTGTGTAGTGGGCCACTTTTTTATCTGGTGAGTTTCTTTTGTATGTATTTTCCTGCTCCCCGTGGAGAGGGCAGGGCCTCTGAAGTACGAACCCTCTCTTTAGGACATCGCCGTGATCTCTGCCAAGCTGACCGGCCTGCAGAGCAGCCTCGTGATGCTCGTGGACACGCCGGACTACTCCGAGAAGTGCGTGCACCTGGAGGCCCTGAAGAACAGGCTGGAGGCCCTCGCCAGCCCGCAGATCGTGGCGGCGCTCACGGCCCAGGCTGTGGGTGAGCGCGGCTCTTCTCTCGCCCTCGTGGTTGTGTTCTGTGCTCGCAGTATACAGCAGGCTGAAGCAGGAGCATTTGGAGTTAGGGGCTGGCCTGGGCTCTGTTTCCACTTGCTTTTTGGTCTTTAGTGACATGTCCATTGGGCTTCTTTGCCTGTGGCTTGTTCAGCTGGCAGGAGCGCCTCATATTTCCTGTCTATTAATTTCTTGTTGGAGATACAACTTTCAAATACTTTCTGTGACGTTGCTTTTTCACTATTAATTGCATTCTTTTTTGAATTTATTTATTTATTTTTATTTTAGGGAAGGGTCTACAGAGTGTTCAGCATCTCACTACCGGATTGGATTTGTAGCGATTCTCCTGTTTGCAGTCTCGCAAGAGCTAGAATTACAGGCACACGCCATGCCCAGTCTCAATTGCTGTCTCAGCAAGCCCTGGGAGCAGGCCGGCAAGACAAGCCCAGGGATTGAACCCCTGGTCCCTGTGCCTGCTTGAGGTGCTTTAATCCGCTGAGCTATTGGGCCAGCCCTATTCTTCTGGTCTTGAGCTCACTTGGTAACCCAGGTTGATCTCAAACTTGCCCCAGTCCCTCTGCCTTAGCCTCCAGAGTGCTGGGGTTACAGATGGGCGCCACCGAGCCCAGTGTCCCATTTGTTTCTGAGAGTTGTAATTTGAGCTTTTACTTTCTGTTTCAGATACATCTTAATTGTGCGTGCGTGCGTGCGTGCGTGCGTGCGTACACATGTGTGCGTGAATGGTTGGTTCTGGGGATTGGATCTAGGGCCTCATATATACCAGGCAAGCCCTCTGCTCCAGAGCTATACCCCGGGCCTTTCAGTTCATGTTTATGGTAGATAATTATGAAAGTTTACATGGAGGTACACACCTGTAATCCCAGTACTCAGAGGCCGAGGCAGGAGGGTCTCTGTGAGCTCAAGGCCAGCCTGGGCTACACAGTGAGCTCGAGGCCAGCCTGGGCTACAGAGCAAGACTGTCTCAAAACAAAGAGTTTTCCTTCTTTGTTTTTCATGCTGAAGTTCAGTTTTCTGCTCTCCACTTGCTGGCAGAACTGTCCCTTCTCCTTTGAGTGGTCCTGGGACTCGTGGTGAAATCTTTACCACGTGCATGGAAAGCTTCCTTCCTGAGCTTGCAGAACCGTTCCCTTTGCCTGTGTGTGTGTGTGTGTGTGCGCAGCCTGCACTGGTTTCATTATTGTAAACAGTCAGGGCCAGGCATGGAGCTCCGCAGCACAGCGCCTGCCTAGCAAGTGTGAGGTTGTGAGTTCAGTTCCTGGTACCAAAAAGAGAATTAAAAAATAAAAGCAGATAATTTATTTCAAGGTGGGTGGAGGGGGAAAGAGAGAGATGAATAACTTCACTACATTACTTTCTAATTTTGAAAATTTAAAATTTTCTCAGAATATAGCGTGTGCCCTTTCCATCTGTTAAGTCATCTTTCTTTCTTTTTTTTTTTTTTTTTGGTGCCAGGAATTGAACTCATGACCTTGCATTTGCCAGGCAGACACTATGCTGCTGAGCTGTATCTACAGCCCCATCTCCTGTCTTCCCTCTTCTAATTTTTTATTTTTTATTTATTTTGGTGGTACCAGGGATCAAATTGAGGACCTTGTGCTTGCCAGGCAAGCACTTATTCCAGTGAGCTGTCTCCCCAACCCTTCTCTCTTCTTTAGAAAATTCCTTTCTGAGCCTTTTTCACTGTTGTCATTCCAGCTGTTCCTCAACCCATTTTTCAGAATATTAACTTTGTAGTAAGCTCTGAATTCAGGAAGTCTGAGACTTCTAACTTCATATTTTTCACAGATGATTTGACTATTCAGGGATTCTTGAAATTTCTTTTTGTCCCAAAGAAAGTGGTATTTTGGTACATGTTAGGTATACATGATGATTGCATCCATCTTAGGGAATTTGTACCTGTAGATTGTATGACTGGATTCTTTCTCCCCCCATTCCCATGCCCTACCCCCAACCCTTCTTCCCTTCCTTATTTACAAAAGCTTTGTTTCCGTTTTTCCTTATTCTCTCATTTTTAAAAAGGTCTCCTTCCTTTCCTGCGCCCTCCTCCTCCAATCTTCCCCTCCCATCTGAGCGTGTTCTTCATATGTCCCAGTGTCTCTTGCACATGTTGGTCCTTACACACACTTTTCCTTTCTGATGCCAGAGAAGCAGTGCAGCCTTTGCACATGTGTAGGGAACCTTTGAAATTGCATATGACATTTTTGGATTGTTTTGAGAAGGTCTTGCTGTGTAGTGCAGGGTGGCCTTGAACTTACAGGATCCTCCTGCCTCAGCCTCCTGATTGCTGGGATTACAGACGTGTGCCACCGTGTCTAGCCTTTTCATATAAATTTAAGGTTAGACTTTTTGCAGCTCTTCTGCAGAAAGTATTGTTAGGGTCTGGATAGGAGTTGCATTAAATCTGTAGATTATTTGTATAGTATTTACATCTTCAAGATACTAAACCTTCCAATCCATGAAATGAGATGTCTTTCCATTTATGTCTTTAATTTTTTTTAGCAGTACTTTGTAGTTTCCAATCTTTAGTTCTTTGGTTAATATTACACCTAGGGTTTTTATTCTTTTTGATGTTGTTATAAATGGAATTTAAAAATGCTTTGTAAGAAACAACTGTATTTTTGTGTATTCATTTTGTATATGCACCTTTACTGGATTTTTTACTCCTAATAGGATTTTGTGGCATCGTCAGAGTTTTCTGCATGTAAAATTGAGTCTGCAAACAGAGATTAATTTATACTTTTCTTGTTTTGCTTCCTGAGATAACATCTTGCCCTATAATTCAGTCTGGTCTCAGGACACAGCCCAGGCTGGCCTTGAGCCCACAGGGGTCCTCCTGTCTCAGCCTCCCAAGTGCAGGAGTTATAGGCGTGTCCCACCATGTCTGGCTAATTTTTACCTCCCTGCTCGGGCTCCTTGTATTTTCCTTGCCTAATTTTTCTAGCAGGATTTGGCCCTCCCCACCCCCTTTTTTTTTTGGTAATGGGAATGGAACTAAGGACCTGGCACTTGCCAGGCAGGCGCTGTGCCACTGAGCTATCTCCTGGCCCCTGATCAGGACTTCTAGTACTGTGGTAAAGGAAAGTAGATGAGTAGGCATCCGTGTGCTGCTGGAAATGATCTTCGCTGTTGAGTATTTTGTGTGCTGTAAGCTTTTCAAGTTATGTCACCTTTTTATTACCTTGAGGGAGGTAAGAGCTAGGAGAGGCCAGGGGTGAAAAAACGAGAGGGCTTCAATTTAGGTGCACACGGGCTCGGCTAGTAAATCCAGAATGACTGAGCAAATGACAGAGGACAGGTCCCAGCTTTTACACTTTTGGTTAAGGGGGTTGGCTGGGCTTCAGCCGAACTTGTGGGTGGGTAGAGGAGAACAGAGGCAGTTTGTCAAGCTGTGAGAGTTGTGTATCTTGGTGGCCCTATGCAGACATAACAGGGTGCGGTGGCAAGAAGGGATTATACAGTGTCACTCACGGGGCGAGAAGTCCCTGCTCAGTTGTGTTAAAGCCCTCACCTTCCGACTGTTGCTAGTTGGCTGCGTGTTTTTATCATGACAGAGTACTGACTTTTGTTGAATGCTTTTTCTCTACCAACAAGGCTGATCACTTTTCTCTTCCTTTTGCTAATGTAGAGTATTTGATTGATTCTTCTGCTTTAGGTTTTTTTGAGACAAGGTCTCACCATGTAGCCCAGGCTGGCTTCCCGCTCACAGTAATCTGCCTGCCTCAGCCTCCTGAGAGTTACAGGCGTGCGCCACTGTCCTGACCTTTGCAGTCTTAACATTTATTAAGACTTGTTCTGAGGTCTAATGTATGGTCTGTCCGGCTGTGCCCTTAGAACAAGTCGCCTTCTGCCCCTGTGGGGTGGCTGGCCTGTGTCTGGGTGAAATTCTCCACTTCCTTACTGCTTCTCCAGGTGCTCTGGAAGTGCTCTCCTGGTACAGCTTCTGCATGCCCTGCGCGCTGTGCTGCACATTCTGCTTTATTATTCACTTAAGGAAATGCGTTTTACTTGTGGGTAGACATTTTTAACATTGCGATTGTATATTAGAGCAGGACACATTTACATTTAAAAAAAATCATATATATAATCATATATACATATATATGTACGTATTTGGTCCAGGGTCTCTCTACACAACTCGGACTCATAGTGATCCTCCTGTCTCAGCCTGCCCAGTGCTGGGATTCTAGGCGCACACCACCACTCCCAGCACAGTGTGCCTGGGGGTTCTGGGGCTGGCCATGCTTGCCAGGCATGGGCTTAGACCTCTGAGCCATCTCCCCAGCCTAGTACACATTACAGAATTTACCTTCTCAGGCAGGGGATATAAGATGAGCAAGGACCTGGGTTTCATCCCTGCCACCACATGCCCTGACAGCCACTGAAACCAGGCAAAGTGGCACAGGCCTGTAATTCCAACACTGAGTAGGCTGAGACAGGAGGATCACTATGAGTCTGAGCTGTGTAGTGAGATCCTGTACCAAATACATAAAAAGATTTTAAAAAATTAAAACTTACCTTCTCAAAACATTCTTTGACCATATAAATAGATGTTAACAGCATTTTAATATTGTAGGTAGTATCGTAGGCAGTTTTCTACCGTGAACATGGTACTGATAATGATGAAAGAAGTGCTATTTAAGCACTAATTTAGTGCAGTACCTGCTTTATTTTGTGCTGATTTTTGAGAACAGTGAAACAAGACAGGAAATGTCACTGTCTCCTGGAGCTTCTCGTGGAAGAGAAAGATAGCAAACTGTAAGAGAACCGGATATAGCTCAGTGGTACAGCACCTGCCTGGCAAGCTCTAAGATAAATAGCTGAATAAAACAAGCGTAGGTGGCGGCTCCTGTTGCGGGCAGATGGAGGGACTCGCACAGGGAGCCGGGGTTAGGCTCACTGCTTAGCGACGAGCGTCGTCCCAGCATAGTCCTAGCATAGTAAGTGCAAAGGCCTTGAGGCAGTAAGGAGCTTGGTTTGTTCTTGAGCCCTGGCAGACAGCGTTGGTCTCAGTGTTTTTCAGTTCATATAAATTTTAGATGGAGTTGAATGAAACTGCATTTGTGCAGGCAGTCAGCAGTTCAGTCCTGCCACTAGCTCTCTGGGCTGTGGCTTCCCTGCCTGTACAGTGAGGGCCACCGGTGGACTGTTCTAGGCGCCTGTCCCCCGGCTGTGATGATAGTGAGGTGGGGCTTGGTAGGGCTGGCGGCGTGGCCTGGGCAGCCCTGAGAGCCGCCGTCACGTCGCGCTCTGGGCTTGCCCCCGCCAGCTCCCAGCCCTGGTTCTTGTTCATCTCCAGCCTTGGGTGCCGTGACTGTGCTGTGGTAGCCTTCTGGCTGTGTGAGCTTACGAGCCACGTATTTTGCGTACTTTCCTTATTTCTTGTGTTTATGATCCCCGAGGGCTACTTCATTACCTTGTAGGAACCTTTGAATATATACATGTGTATGTATATAACCTCCACATTGGCCGCACCAGAAAATCTGATCATGTATCTATAAACTTTGTGTTCTTTAGATCAGTCCAAAATGTTTGTGAAGGTTTTTACTGAAATTGACCGGATGCCCCAGCTCCTTGCATACTACTACAAATGTCACAAGGTAAGAGGCCTTTGCGATCGCGATCTTGGTGCTGGTAACTGGGGGCTGCAAGAATCCCGTTTTTATCCTCAAAGGTAAAATGCCTCTGCATCTGGCTGCTTTTCTTCTAGTTAGCCAGTAGGGGGTGCTCTTGGTCCAGGGCATGCATGCATTTACCTGCCAGTTGGAAAAAGTCAGAAGTTTGTCCTGTGTTACTTACAATTGGATTTGTTTACAAAATTGAAAAGTTATTTTAGTTTATTCAAAATCTTGTCCTTTTTGGGGGCAGTACTGGGAAATGAACTCAGGGACTGTGCTCAGCCACATCCCCAGCCCTTTTATCATTTTTTATTTTGACACATTTTTTTATTTTGACACAGGATCTCACCAGGTTGCCCAGACTGGCTCCAACTTGAGATCCTCCTGCTTCAGCCTCCCAGTGTGCTGGGATTACAAGTGTGTGCCATTCTGCCAAGCTCAATTTTGTCTTTTAAGGAAGATTCATGGGGCCGGGGAGATGGCTCAGTGGAATAAGTGCTTCCCTGGCAAGCGCAAAGGCCTGAGTTCAATCCCCAGTTCCGCAAAAAAAAAAAAAAAGGAAGATTCATGTCTTAAGTGTCATTATGCCCTAGGAAGCATAATAACCTAAATATATTATTTTCTAAGGTTGTTGGTGTTAGGTTACCAAAACTCTTGGTGGCTTCCTGGGCTAACCTTAGTTGCTTCGAGGCCAGCGCCTGTGTGCATCTTAAGCAGTAGGCTGAGGGCGTGCAGTGAGTACGTACATACTCACATGTATGTCCGAGTGTGTTCAGAGCAGAGCGGGGCACTTGGCTCACGCAGGGGAATGGGAAAAGGCGGGTGTGCAGGGCGAAGCTTTGGACGTCCTCAGAGCAGGCGAGCTTGTTTGCTGCCTGCGTAGGTGATGGACCTGGTGGGTGCTTGAGTGCTGGGGCGGCGGGCGGCTGTGACCCTCGCAGGCCCTGGGGGGGGCAAGGCAGCTTGGGCAGGCGCCTTCGCTGGTTGCCCAGCATGACCCTTTGTTCTGCCTCTGCAGGTGCAGCTTTTAGCAGCCTGGCAAGAGTTGTGCCAGACCGACTTGCCGCTGGAGCGGCAGCTCAGTGGCCTCTACGATGCCCTGCTGGGGGCTTGGCACGCGCAGGCCCAGTGGGCGACGCAGGTAACAGCTTACTGAGGGCTGAGAGCGCAGAGCCTGCAGTGACAGGGACAGGTGCTGGGCAGCGCGGGTCGCGCTCACCCGCAGGGCGTCGCTTGGCAGTCTCCGGTGTGTGCCGCCGTTGCTCAAGAGCTTCAACCAGCAGCGTACAGACCCACCTGAGGGAGTTCCTTGGGTCTCCGTGAAACCTTCTTATCACCTTGTCTGTATCTTAAATGCGATCTTGTGTGACAGTGCTGCCTGTTGTTCTCCAGGGGAGCCTCTGGAATTCCGGAAAGCCTGGTGGTCAGATCTGGAGGCAGGGGCCCAGTCAGGTGGCGCTGGTGTGAGCAGGATTGTTTTGATGTCACCTGGCTGGCAGTACTTGCCCTCGCTCTCCTGTGCTCCGCGTCAGCAGAGCTGTGCAGCTTTCAAGGCACTCTGTAAGCAGCGGGAGGCAGACAGGCGTTTCAGGTGGACCTTTCAGTCCCTCCCTTCTTCACAATCTCTGGGCAAAGGTCCTGCTGTATCTTGGTCTTAACCATCCAGCAGAAAAGTATAAAAACGAAGTATAAGAAGTAAAGCCATGGTGTTACGTTGAGCTGTAGGGGACTCAGGTCAACGATTTCTGACACTGCCAGTCAAGCGGAAGACCCCATACTATTATGGACTACTGGGCTCTTTTAGAATATTGTGCTGAGTTAACACACCTATAATACTCAAATAGCAGAAAAAAGGGGATACAGATGAATGTCCATTTTGTATCTGTGTATTCAAAATGGTTAGGATAGATACATAGTTACATTCTCTTAATGAATAGAAGGATTTGTTCTAATAGTGTTTGTAAATAGGATAAAGTTCGCATCTTGTACAGCAATTAACCACTAGGAAGAGAGTATGCAATGTGTTAATTATTGAAACTGTCATTCCAATTTGGTTTGAAACTGTCTCATTGCTATTTGTCTCTCAATAAAATTATGGGAAAAAAATAAAAATAAATAAAAGTTTAAAAAAAAACCTCTCTGGGCTGTTCCTAGCACAGGGCAGATGCCCCGGGGCGCAGCAGGTCCTCCCTTGGAAGGGGGAGCCCAGGACTCTGGAGTGGTTACTCCTGGGCCTGCTGATGGCAGCTTGTTGTCATTTTGTCCCCAGTTGGTCATGAATCAGTCTTTACGTGCTCAGCAGCCGTGTAGTGGGGTGAACTTGATGGCGTTTGGAGAAGGTCCTCCAGGGGCACGCCTTTTAACTTGGCTAAAGTGCCTTTCTCCATCCAGGTTTCTTTTTCTTTGAACTAAGCTTGTTTAGAGTTAGTTGCTTCTGTTTGTTTGTATTTATTTACTTAGTTACGGGTGCCTTCTCACTGAGCCCTTTATTTGACTTTTTATTTTAAGACAGGATTGCACCAACTCTCTTAGTTGCCTCGGCTGGCTTTAAACTTGCTGTCCTCCTACCTCTGCGGCCAGAGAGCTGGGGGGATAGGGCTGTGCCACCATGCGTGGCTTAGATTTTCAGGGAAGCAACGCCGTAGAAGTCTCGCAGTGTTTCTGTGCTCGTCGCTTTCAGCCAGCCTCTGCCTCCGTGCGCGCTGCGCGTCTTCTGTCCGCCTGGTGTCGTGAGGCAGAAGCAGCATCTGCCCATGCACACAATCTCCTGTGTCTTCAGAGCAAGAGACTTGGGCTTGACGCGCTTCTCTGCAGTCCTCATTTCAGTTTGGCTTGTGCTCATTTATATCTTCAGCCCCAGCTCATTTTGTTTTCTTTTATTCTGAGCAGTCAGAGAAGGGCATATTGTACCCCCCTCTCTCTCTCTGTCTCTGTCTCTCTCTCTCTCTCTCTCTCTCTCTCTCTCTCTCTCCCTCTCTCTCTGTCTCTCTCTCTCTCTCTCTCTCTAAATACAGAATCTGCCTAAGATACTCCCTGTGTACCCAGACAATATCCAACCTAAGCTTTAGGTTTCATTTTCCCCCCTCTCTCTCTC